CCGAAGCACCACAGACACACTTCAAGCACAAACTCGTATTTGTAAATAAATCTAGTTAGAACGGCCTCGGCCAAAGTCTTACATAGCCTCGAGCTCACTAGACTCTAATGGAACAATAATACACTTACTATATTAGTAAAGAGACCTTCCTACTAGCCTTTAAGACTGCTTTTAAGTAGTCTATTACAAAAGAGAATATCTAAGCTAGCTTTAAAGGCGCTAGTCTAGTCCTACATAACCTATAGGCTATGCTATCTAAGCTTAATATAGTAGTGCAGACACTTGTATAATTACTATAATAGGTAGCTACCTAGTAGGCGTAGACACTACGCAACGCGCGCAAAGTTAAGTCTTAAATTAGTCTTATTTAAGAGAGCGTAAGAAAACGCTATAGGTCTTCTACTAATTTACTTACTAAGTAGATTACGTAGCTAAGTAAAAAGGCCTACTAAATAGCATATAAAATAACGCTTATAATAGAGGAAATAAGTTAGCTTTAAGTAGCTTTTAATAAGTTAAATAAGCGTAAAAGCTACAAGCGGCGATATATATAGATAGAAGAGACTCTTACTATAGGTAAAGTATAAGAAGTATTAGCTAAATAGGTAGGTAGTAGTTATAGTAATAATAAGAGTGCGTTAAAGAGGGTGTAAGGAGAGTAGTAGTGTAGGCGTTGCAAGCAGACTAGATATAACGCTTATACTTGCGTAGTTAAGATAGATAGTGTAAGTAATAGTCGTAATTCTGATAATTAATTTAGTGTATTATAATAGTTTATTAACTATAATAAAAAACTATAATAACGTGTTAATGCAGATGTAGTGGTGGGGCGTTAGCGACTCGCTTGGGTTAGCGACTCACTTGTGAACCACGTTACATGGATGCTAATTTTGCACGCCAAAAAAAATACCTCAAGAACCACACACACACACACACACAAGATATGTGAGTATATCTGTGACTGAAAACCATTCATTCAAGTTGATTGTTTATTTTATTTTTGAAAAAGAAAAAAAAGGTATAAGTACACGTAGATGATATCATATCAAACCAGGGTATCACTACATGACCAGCATGTGGGACAAAGATATGCACGCACGCATTCAACCAGCACTTATGCCGACGGACCCCCTGCCCTCGTCTCCATCATCTTGCGCCTGTGTTCTTCTTCCAGTAAACTCTGTTTCCGCACATACTCGAGGACAACTTCCTCCTCGGTCCTCTGGCGCTCGAGATTCTGCACGCGCTCGCGCTCGGCTTGCTGGCTCTCCCACAGCACGCGCTTCATCTGCTCGTCGTCGTCGTCGTCGTCGTGTTTTTCGTCGTGACGGAGTACACCGCTGTCATGCTCGCTGGTTGGGATATTAGATGCTGGACTCGGTTCCCCGCCTGTTGTCACGCTGCCCATGCGCGTGCTTTGTGTGTCCCATGCGGCGGAGCCTGGGGTCTTGGTTGGCGTAGTGGCTGCGCTGCTCTGCTGCTGCTGTTGAGCATAGTCATCGGGGTGGCTTGCATGGAGATGCGCTAATTCCTTGGACTCTGCGATGATGCGCTGGTATTCCTCATCCTCCTCCGTGTTATCAGTGTTGTCTGAATCCCATTCCGAGCCGCTGCCACGTCGGCGGCGCGTTCGCGTTTCAAGAAGACTTCTTCGGAGCGTTTCTTCAAGCGCTTTTTGCTCTTCTTCTGTGACGTTTGTTCGCCCGGCTTCGGACATGCTGGCCACCATGGCGCGGTGAAGCGCTTCCTCGTCGTCTTGCTGGGTGCTGGCGTCGGCGCGCTCAAGTTCAGTGATTGAGGCGCGTATGGCTGAGGCGATGAGTTCGTCTTCTTCAGGATTGCCGCGAGAGGCTTCAGCGACCGAGGCAGTAATTGCTCGTTCCAATTCGCGTTGGTCTTCCTCTTCTTCAGCCCTGAGTTGCGCTTCGAGTTCGGCTTGCGTCGGTTGAGATGCAGCGCTTGTATTGCTTCCGGTAGTAGGAGTTTCCTGGCGTCGTAGAGCGCGCACTCTTTCCGCTTCCTGTTGCCGCCAACTGGGAATCGTAGACCGGATTTCCGGCTCTACCTCAGGTCCTTGTGGAGCGGGATCTACGCTCACCAAGTTGTCTTGCTGAGCCGGGTTATCCTGAACTAACGGCTGGCCACCTGTCGCATTGGCATGCGAGTTGAGTCTGGCTAGGCGCTCGTTTTTCCTCTCTCTCTTCTGTTGTACCAGCGCATGCAGCGAATCTATGCTCTCGGCTCCAACATTCTTCTTCTTCTTGATGCTGCCTTTCATGTTACGCCATCTCTTGACAATCTCCTCTCGCTCCTCCTGGGGAGCTACCGCGGCTTCTTCATAGCCCTGTGCAATTCGGGCAGCAATAATGTAGTTTTCGACATTTTGCCCCTTGTTCTTGGCCATTTCTTGATAGAGCCCTTTCATTGCATAACCAGGAACCGCCCATGCACCACCCATGATACGGAAGGGCAAGCTCACAATTCCACGGCCAACGCCCTTGACGAATCCAACACCCCCTTCTTTCTTAGCCCCCTTGTACGGGTCTGTTACCATACCTGTGATGCCATCATAAAACCCTAAACCAAATTGCTTACACATGTCAGCAGAGTGCAAACGCTTGAGGTCATGGCTTAAGTACCTTGGCAGCTGTACGCATGCCGCTTTGAAAGTCAGTGACTTTGTCAACCTGCCGCACCTCTGCTCCGTAGAGCTTGGGTACGTTGTGAAATCCTTTGGCAACGTTTAGCGAAAAGTCCATGGGCGACTTGAAGCCAGCACTGATAATTCGGGCCAGTCCTTTTCCGGTGTTTACGGCAGAATCAACGTTTCCTGCCATATCAGGTTTTTGTCCAATGTTTGAAGCTGTCGTCGACCGAGATGCCGAGTTTGAGCAAGTACGGTCTCTGGAACCCGAACGCGAACGTTGAGTAGATTCGGAAAGTGCCTGAGACATGAAAGTCGATCTGTGAGAAGGCGTACCAGGCGAATCTGGTGTTGTAACTGCTGGGTTCCCAGCTTGGATACGGACCAAATCTGCAATGGCATCGGCAGCCGTAGGCGATGTAGCTTTGCTTCGATCTGAATGTGCAGCGACATTTGTGGCACTGTTTGTCGCTGTCGGGCTATTGCTACTTTCCCCTTGGGAAGAGGATTCATTTCCTCGTGCCTTTTGCTTGCCCTTCTTCGACTTGGCATCAGGGTGGATATGCAAGAGCTTGAGGGTCTGAATAGGCATATCAGCAACACCCATCATTACCGAGGTGGCTGTTCCCATAATCGCGCTCGCTCCGCCAGACACTGGGTCCCAAGGGCCTTCGTCGGGAACGTATTCGCGAGGACGGAAGCTGGGACTGTTAGCCGATATCGCATTTACATACGAAAGTACTTACAGCTTCATCTCGGAGAAATTTACTTCACCCTGTTGAGCAAGTACAGTAGCTGCTTGCGCACTCAACCTCACATTCGTGCGCTTCAGCCTCCAGACCGCAGGCCTATCCGGCATAATTGCGCATCGCATGTCGTCGTAGTTGAGCATTTGATGGAAAGATTGTGCGCCACTCTGTGTTCCGTTCTCTTGTTTGATCTTGTCACTGAGTTCTTGTGCCCTTTCAAGCGATTCTGGCTTGAGGGCTTCATTGATAGCTCCTGCAAGTTTATCTGCGGTAAGTTCCTTGTACGGGATAGGGTTAGGTCCAGCACCAGCGCGGGCTACCATAGCTCCCCAGAAAGGTTGGTCTCCAAAGAATGGCACAACAACTGTAGGCTTTCCAGTAGCGATACCAGCTGCGGTAGTTCCGGCGCCACCATGATGAACAACTGCCGAGACGCGTTTGAACAGCCAATCGTGCGGGCAGTTGCCAAGCATAAATACACCGTCAGGCTTGCCGATATCGTCTGCTCCAAGCCCACCCCAGCCTTTGGATACTAGTGCGCGTTTGCCGGTGATCTTGACAGCTTCAAATATCAAGTTAGTCATTGCGTTTGGATCATCCACTACGATTGAGCCGAATCCAATATAGACAGGGGGCTCTCCCGCATCCAGGAACGCTGCCAGATCCGGATCCGGTGTGTAATTCGAAGCGAGATTGAGAAAGTAGAAGCCTGCAATAGAGATGTGATGAGTCCAATCTTTTGGTTTTGGGATCAGTGCTGGTGACCTGCTTGTCGTGAGCATTAATTTTATACGGGGCTTGTTGGACTTACCAGCAGTATGTAAAGGGGATTCTGAGTCGTGCAAGCATGGCTGGCGCCCATACACCACTGATTGGATCCAAGCAAAGGCTATCTTTACGGAACCTGTTGATGACATCTCCTAAGCCTTGCCAGGTCAGCAAATCAACCATTAGATACGACATGTAATTCGTAATTGTAGGATCTGCGTTGGTGGACTGAATGTTCGCGAGTGGGTGTGGGAACTGTTGCGTAGGCGACCATGGCATGCTGTTTCCGGTTCAGTATATGCGCACAAGAGACACCTTCTTGCACCTACGTGAACATCATGTGGAGTGGTATGCCTAGTTTCTCAGCACAGTGTATGTGTCCGAAGCTCGGGGGGTTTGCAATGATTGCATCGGCAACAAAAGGCTTCCGAAGCTGCTCTGGCAGTTGATCCTCTATGCCCATCCACTCTTCTACTGTCTGTTTCAGAGGATCCACACCGAGACCATTGCCGGTCTCTATGCAAGATCTCCATGTTCCAACGAGGATCTCTGCGATCCCTCTCCTCCTCTTGCCAATATCACCACTGCGCAGTGTTTCAAAACCTGGCATCAAACCAGGGTTCTTCACCATAAAGGCCATGAGCTCCGCCGGGTCTCCGCCGATACTGAAAAACTCGAGTCCATTTTCGATGACAAAGTCCTTGAACGTCGGATGTGTGGCTAACCGTACGCGGTGACCGTAGGTCTCTTTCAGCACCTTACCCAATGCGACGAAAGGCTGCACATCACCACGAGAACCCACAACCTGTATAACCAGGTTGAGCGGGGGCGGAGGTTGTTGCCCTGGCGCTCCACCAAGAAACTCTGGTACGTAGGGTGGAGCAGGCTCAGGATCTTCTTGCGCATGTGTGAGTTGTCGTTGGATCTGTGGGAGGATGAGTTGCGAAAGTGCACGGCTTTTCTGGTCTATGCGAATGTTGACACGTCCATCGTCGGCGACAATGGCGTTGGTACCAAGCTCTTCGTTCTCGACCTGGCCTGGGGGCTCGCTGTATGCGGGAGGAGGCAGCTCTTCGGTCGGCGACTCTACATTGTGAGTTTGTGCGTCATTCAAGTGATGCCTAGAGGTTGAGGCCTCGCTTTCGGCAGCATCAGCATGTCTTAGTTTATTTTCGGGTTCAAGATGCTCACGACGACTGTATAGATTGTTGCGCGTATCCTGGGGGCTGCTGCGGTGGTGGGGCATTGTCGTGAGTGATGTCATTGTCCCTGGTGGGGCCTGTTGAACTCGACATGTCGTTATTACAAAGCTCGGCAAAAGGGTATCATGGGAACGAAAGGACACAACTGAAGGGGGAAAAGTGATTGCAGCTGACAGGATTTGGGAAGATAGGGAGGCTCTAACCCAGGCATGAACAGCCTATGCCCGCTATGACACGGAGTTTCGGGGAAATCGGTGTGTGATTGGCTGTGGCTGTGTTGAGGCGCGGCGGCAAGGTTTGCAAGGCCGCCAGCGGGGCTTCGTCATCTCTCTCTACCTAGCCTTGCGCCATGTATACCTGAACAGTGACAGCACTGGCACCATGACCTTGCGTCTCGGTCGATTACAATTAGGGCCCGCATGTCTCGGCAACCTTGGCAGTAATACATAGCCTCTTCCGGCTGACATGCCGCACTTGGATATCAGCAGACAAGATCGTCTCCCATTCATAACGGACAGCGGGTAAATGTAGCATTTGCAAATTGGTCTTGACATTGGCTAAATATAGACCCGACCCGACCAATCCCATTTCTTGTATGCTTTGTATGTACCATCAATGTAACTGGTCGTGTCAGGACAAGCACCTCTGTGTAGCGACAGATTGTGCAAGGAGAGTGTGCTGCCTCTCAAAACACATACTCTCTCGCCTTTGCTAATACAGATTCCCTGACTGGATATACAGTCTTGCAAAAGCTACTGTTGAAAGGAAGACATGCAACAGTACCCGCATACGCTGTAGCACCAAAGGCGGCATAGAATCTCTCATGTAATGCCAAGTAATGTGCACGCTGGGTCGAGCGGAACAAAGTCATATGAATAGAGACATAACAAGGCCATGAAGGTTTGGCGGCAGAGTTGGACTTTTGGTTAGATGTCATGCCATGCACGTAAGTAAGTGTATGTTCTGAGCGACAGGGTGGAGGCGGAGCTCCCGCACTGGACCTTACTACTCTGGGACTAGCACCACGACCCTGCATTCATGAGACTACTGGCGCGTCATGGCTGGGCGTCACGCGTCGACGTAGGCGCCGAACGAGGAACGAGGAACACACTCATCTCATCCTCAACTCCATCTCGGCTTACTATAGCCATAGCCTCAGACCCTGATCTCGGCCGCCGCGCTTCCCAGCTATCCTGACCCTGATCATAACCACCTTAGGACCTTACAAGGGGTGCACGTTCTCCCCGAACCAGATATCCACTTTGCACCAACCCCTACCCAACAGAATCTCTGCTGTCATTCAGGCGACATGTTTGTCAAAAGTGTCTGGGCGCTAGCGACGCTCCTGGCTCCAGCTACAGCATGGAATACAGATGGTAGGTCGCGGCGTCATGTACGGCATGCATTCCTACTGAGTCAAGCCAGTTCACAACCAGATTGGCTTCATGGCCGAGACCTTTTTTACACCAGAAACAACCTCCGTCTTGGCCGAGATCCTGGAGCCAAAGTACAACGGCTCTGTTGGGCGCTCAGCAGCATGGGCAGACGCTTATGCACACACCCACGAGGGCCATTTCTCCTATCAATGGCACTGGATAGACACGCACGATAGCCCGCCAGAGTCCTGTCACTTGGACTACACCCACGACTGTGCCAAGGGTGGATGCGTGGTGAGTGCCATCGCGAACCAGACGAGTATTCTACGCGAATGCATCCACCAAGTTCAAAGTGGCCATCTGACAGGGGGAACCAATTTGACCTGCTCTTATGCTCTGAAATGGGTAGCACATTTCTTTGGAGACATCCACCAGCCCCTGCATTCGAGTGGGCGAGCCGTGGGTGGTAACACTTACAAGGTAGTGTTCGGAAACGTCTCAACCCAACTTCATGCTGTAAGTCATACTTTACGCTTGTAGAATATAGGCTCATTGATACAGGTCTGGGACGGCTATCTGCCTTATTATGCGGCAAATGTCAGTGAGCCCTTTTCCAACCAATCAATCGATGGGTTTTTTACTGGCCTCGTTTCACGCATCCGCAAAGATGCGTTTTACTCGGCGCCGTACATGTGGCTTTCTTGCGTGGAACCTTCTACTCCAGAGGAGTGTGCCACAAGCTGGGCGAAAGAGAGCAATCGCTGGGACTGTGCCTACGTGTACAGTCGCGTGCAAAATGACACTGATCTTGCAACAGATGGGTACGCAGCGGGCGCTATCACTATTGTTGAATTGCAGATCAGCAAAGCTGCGCTCAGACTGGGCACATGGCTTAATAAACTTGTCGAGGGGAGCAAACACGCCTCTGGGGAACAAGAGACCGTTGAGCTATAAGCTTATTTGTAAGATTGGGCGTGGAGCTGCCCTAGACTTGAAGCTGAGCCATGTACAGTATGGTAAAGTGATCGATAGCAAGTTGTTGGTCACGAAATGAAGCCAGTCGCATCGACTTGATATACTGCATTTCTATTTCACCGCGTAATGTGATAACGCCTCTCTTCTATCCAGACCGACAGATTACCAGTATAACCCCATCGCCGGCCAGGACCCCTGTCTACTCTCCAGTTTCAAGTACAGTCTAATCCAACCAACCCCTCGACTTAAACTACTCCCCACCGCACTTCAAATCATTCCTGTCTGTGCACTTGCATTGCAGCCCGAGGGGACAGGTACGCTCAACTGTCCATCTGCCACCAATGCAGGCATGCTATTGAATTACATGTTAGCTTATTTTTGCACTGTTCGAAACTGCGAGAAAAGTCAAAAAGTAGCAGGAGACTGACAATGTCGCCTTGATGATACCAGGAGCAGCTGCGGGGGTCCGCGGGCTTATTTCCGTGAAAGCAATGATCACCAGCTACGGTCCAGAAAGGGGGACAACTGTCGTGGCCAACCCCCCATGAGCCGGTTTGGAAGTTGTCAGGGTCTCTGGTGCTGTTGATGGGAGAGGACAGGGCCACCGCTGGGAGGAGTGCTACGATTGCGCGGACAATTGAGAGCTGCATGGTTTGCTCGTGATGGAAGTGGTTGGTAATAGAAGACTGAATTAAAGATGGATGATTCTCTGACAAGAACAGAATACCATACTATATAGGCTTCGAGCTCACAAGAATTTGCGCAAGTGAGACCCTATTACACCTCTTCCGTCCCTGCAGATTAGGTCCGTACTTCAACTATGCACATGGCAGTCGTGCTCGGTGTCTCCACACCTCTCTCCATATATTATAGCAACGTACATACATATGCATCTAGCTTCTCTGCATGTCGCTTGCATATCTCGTTCGCTCGGATTCTACATCATGGCAGCTTTAGCTGCATATTATAATCACACACAGTGGTTTTTCATGCATGATCAAGTGGGGAGCTAAGTGGCTCCAAAGACTGCTACCTACTGCTATTTTCCGAAAACAGGCTACGGTATCAGGAATTTCTGTCCAATGAGTATCAGTATTCCCCTTGCCCAAACTGCAACTATAGTCTAGTCTTAGAGCCCTATTTTCATCGGCTAGTAGCCACAGTCATCGCGCTAACCACAAGTACTACAGTGTCGGGACCCCACATCGGCCTGACGCCCACCTTACTTCCCCACATGGAGAAAGCCAGGAGCTACTTCAAGTGCCGCTGGGCAGTGATCAAGCCAACTCCTGATTTTCTCTTCGTTTTCTGCGAAATAGAGACCTATCAAGTGAGCAAGAAGAACGAATATCCTCCACCATGGCTTTCGACGAACTAAACGACAAAATCACCCCGGCAGTATGTACATGCAACGGCCCCACATCCAGCCTTCCCCATCCGCATGCTCCGTCAAAATGCACAAAGTCACAGCCAATTCCCATCGAGCGTGTATGCACCGCCATGCAGAGGGTATGCTAATCGCATGCTTAGAACCCCAGTCGCGAAGTGTCGCCAAACCGTGGATCTTCTGTGCATCAATCGGCCGCTATTCCGAAGCCCTGCAAACCCTTGCGACAATGGCAACAAGAAAACAACATTGACCGCAGCGCACAGATCAAACTCACCAAGCTCGTGCACATGCGCTACCAGCACCCAGATATGGATGAAATCACCCAGTTCCTGCGCGACTTTGGCATGAGCGTAGCGCAGAAATCAGAGGGCAAGAAATGGTTCAAGGGCTACGGCGACGACCAGTACGTCTACTACGCGCAGCAAGGCGAGAAGAAGTTTCTGGGGGGTTGCTTCGAAGTTGAAAGCTATGCCGAGCTCGAGAAAGCCTCCAAAGTCCCAGGCGCAAGTCCAATTCAAGAGTTGACCGATGCTCCCGGCGGGGGCTTCATGGTCACCTTGCACGACCCCGAAGGTTTCCCGATCAACCTGATCCACGGACAAACCAAGCGCGAACCCGGACCTTTTCCAGAGATTCTAACCACAAACTATGAGCACGAAAAACCACGGGTTGCGCGGTTCCAGCGCTTCAAGCCCGGTCCGGCGGCCGTGCACAAACTAGGTCATTATGGTCTTTGCGTGCAGAACTTCCAGGAGGAAATGCAATGGTACACCCGAACATTCAACATTGTACCCACCGACTTCCTATATGTCCCCACAAACACCTCGTCAGATGACACTTCTTCTCCGTCATCTCCACAGCAAAAGGACGTGGCAATATTTGCGCACCTCGATCTAGGCCCTGGATACACAGACCACCATACCATTTTCCTATCGTCGAATCCAACGTCACATGTGCATCATTGCAGCTTCGAGGTGCACGACTTCGACACGCAGAATCTGGGGCATGAGTGGTTGGCGCAGAAGGGGTACAAGAGCGTCTGGGGTGTGGGCAGGCATATCTTGGGAAGCCAGTTGTTCGACTACTGGTGGGATACAACAGGTAATATGATTGAGCATTATGCAGATGGGGATCTAGTGAACGAGGACACGCCGGTAGGATGGGGCGAAGCGGGAGACGAAAGTTTGGCTGTTTGGGGACCCGAGGTGCCTATGTGGTTTCTGGATTGAACCTTTCTTTGGGTTGAGAATTGCGAAAATTTTGATTAAATTCAATACATCAGGTATTATTTCACTGGCAGTTCGCGTTTCATTACCGTTGCCCAGCCGCCATGTCTCCCATCTGCTTTTCCGTCTCGGTATTGATTCAGCCAGGACAGCAGCAAGTCACCAGCACTCCAGGATGCTCTTTTGCCAAGACCAGCACCAGCGCGTTTAGGAGTGGTTTGCTGACTGGTCACAACACTGGTCATTCCTCGAACCCAGGTGCTTCGTATTAGCCCAATCACATAGCAGATATATAGTCGTGAGCAAGCGCATCAAGAACGGAGATTGTTCGCAAGCTACATTGTTTCCAACTTACGCATATGCAACCAACGACAGCCCCGCCTTATTGCCAAAGGCTATGTTCCAAGAATCGACGCCGGACCGCTAAAGCATGCAGATTTTTCTCCATGTTGTGAAGTGCTAGCTTTTATGTTGGAAGAATCTTGGACGTGTGCTGACAATACTACCAGGAGGTGAGTTGCCTTGTTAGAACAGCTAGCAGAGACTTAGGCAGCATTCTCAAGCGCCAAGCGCACCGACCAACTTCACTTTAAATTATTGGGGTTGCACATATCAAGAACGTCACGGAGAACAAATGAACATGGGGAAGGCTTAATGGTACAGGCATTGTTGCTAATACAGAAGGGAGGCCTGGAACTATGCCCAGGGTAGCCTCGAGCACAAGGCAACAGCACGCTAGCTCGATGCTTAATTTTACCTACACCCCGCCCCATACATAAATTCATGGAATGCCCAAATGTCACTCTCAATTGAAAAAAAACTCAAATTAAACAGCAAAGCAATGAGGATCCATCACCAAGGTTGGTGCTGGAGACGTTCAAGGTGAAGGAGGCGCAGCTGGATGCTGTAGTTGAGTGTGCGAGGACATGGAGGTTCGATGGTAGTGGGGATTCGCTGGTTTGGGATGGACAGGTTGTGGAGAAGAGGTGGAGCCAGGGTGTTGCTGGGTTGAGGCTGCCCAAGAATGCGTCGTGGTATGATCGGTGTAAGGACTACGAAGTCAGAATTGTACGGTTTGTTAGAAAGAGGGTAGGTTAGTGTTGCGAGGAATTTTTTGGGGGGTTGGGTGGTTGGTTGAATGTATGTATTTTGTTTTTTTTAACGCTCTTCGGTTATGGTTGATTCACTAATTGGGTAGAACATCTCACATCTTACTTGTGCCCTCCTGGGGCACTTTGACAACGACTTTTCCCCAGCTGTTCCTGCCGCCAAGAGCCTTGAGTGCAGTAGGCACGCTGTCCAAGCCCACGTACTCCTGGTCTGTGAAAACAGTTCCTCTGTACTTGCCCTCCTGGATCAGCTTGAAGATTCCATCCCAGACCTTGTCTTGCATTTCAGGTTCATTAACAGCGTAGGCTCCCCAGTGCAGTCCCACGACGCTGACATTCTTCAGCAGAATGCGGTTGGTGGCCATCTTCTCAATGTCACCTGCTGCAAAGCCAATGACGAGCAGGCGTCCATTCCAGGCGGTACACTTCATGGACTGGGCAATGAGGCCGACGGGGTCATATACAATATCTACGCCACGGCCCTTGGGCGTGAGCTTCTTGACTTGCTCCGGCCAATCGGCATCACGGTAGGAAACGGCGTAGTCGGCGCCAAATGACCGCGCGACATCGAGTTTGTGGGGGGTACCAGCTGTAGCAACGACGGTTGCGCCGAAAGCTTTTGCGATTTGAACGGCGGCTAGACCAACGCCGCCAGCTGCAGCATGTACAAGGACCCAGTCGCCTAGAGGTACGTTAGCTTTGAAACGGGTCCAGGGATCCAATCGCAAAGACATGAAAGACACATACCCTTCTTGATGCCAGCCCTCACAACCAGCCCAGCATAACTCGTCGGGGCCGTAACAAAGAGACCAGCCGCATCTTCGAAGCTCCAGGCCTCAGGAACACCTTTCAGCTTATCTTCCGTGCACACAATATGTGTCCCATATGCACCCTGGTTCGCGCCAAAGACCTTGTCACCCTCTTTGAACTTGGGAGTCTTGCCTCCAGGCAGGGAGGTAGGTGCCTTGAGAACGACACCCGAGAACTCGGAGCCGGCTATCCATGGGAAGGCGGGCTGGTGCTGGTACTTGCCCCTAATTTGGAGGAGGTCGAAGAAGTTTGTTGCCGAGGCACGAATCGCAACTAGGTACTCGTTGGATTTGGGTTCTGGCGTGGGGAGGTCGATGACCTTGAGGTCGTCTGGGCCCTTGCGACTGTTAGCGGAATGACGCGAGAGAAGAGAAAATAATGGTAGTAGCTACATTGACATATTCCTTGATCTGGATACCCTTCATGTTTGGGGGGCGGACGGCGATGCTAATGGGGATGACGTAGTGTTTGTAGGTGTGAATGGAGTATAAGGACTTGGACACAGAAAACAAGCGTCAATCTGGAGGCGGCAGAGGCTGGACGGAGGGTTGTGGGAGTAAAAGAGCGAAACGGTCCATTGTAGTCGGCGCGACAGGCCGGACGTTCTTCTCCACGCGAAAGATGCCTCGGCTCTGGGGCAAGCTCTCCGCCCCGGCCCATGTCCGGCTCTGGCGTTGGCGTTGGCGTGGGACTTGCCGCTTAGTCAGCAGCGGCAGCCGCGCCGCATGCAGCGAGACGCGCTAATGACGGCAGGGTGTGGCGGGGGTCCAGTGACGTTCTACCGCCTTCCAATTGAATCCAAAGCTACCCACAGCCTCTCCACCCAAGTCGACCACCACCTGTTCTTCTCCCTAGCACACCCACCCTCGCCCTAGACGCTTTATTCTTTGCCAGCCTGTACCCGTGCCGTCACCAGAGCCCGACACACAGCTACCCTTGCCATGGCTGAGGACGCCGCCACCTCCTCCGAGGACCCGCAAATCACCTTCAACGTCAAGGCTGCAAACGACCAGAAGCATGTCCTCACCCTGCCCAGCGCCACCACAGTCGCCGACCTCAAGGCCAAGCTCGCCACGCCAGAATATGCAGACGTCCCCGTCGACCGCCAGCGCTTGATATACTCGGGCCGTGTGCTCAAGGACCCAGATACATTGGCCAGCGTCAAGATTAAAGACGGACACACTATACATCTTGTCAAAGGCGCTGCCAGCAATGCAAGACAGAACCCCGCCAGCCAGGGCACGGCAAGCACTGCGGGCGCGGGCACCACCCCGGCCCCCCAGGTGCCCACCAACATCGCCGCAGGAACAGGCAACAACCCTCTGGCTGGACTGACTGGTGCGCGATATGCTGGATTCCATGGCCTGCCTGGAATGGACATGTTTGGCCCAGACGGAGGCGTGAGTCGAATCCAAGTGCCACAGCCTGGCGAAGACATGCTGACACACGCCAGATGGGCCCTCCACCAACCACCGAGTCGATGCTCGAGCAGATGGAGAACCCCATGTTTCTCTCACAGCTAAACGAGGCCATGAACAACCCTGCAGTAGTCGATATGATGTTGCAAAGCCCCATGGTGAGTACTCTGCCCGCTCTGTACTGGCCATGTCTGACGTATGGTAGATCCGCGACAATCCAATGCTTCAGCAAGTGCTGCGAGACCCCGAAATGCGCCGCATGATGTTCAGCCCGGAAATGATGCGCATGCAACTACAAATGCAACGAAACATGGGTGGGCGTGGGCCTGGTGCTGCGCCTAGCTTCCCAGCTCCTGGTGCTACAGACAATACGCCGCAGTCAGGTTCCACAGCGGCCAGCCAAGGCACCACTGCGACACCCAACCAGCCTAATACGACCGCACCGACAGACCCTTTTGCCGCCTTTGGTGGAGGCGCTGCAGCCGGAGCCAACCCATTCGCTAGCCTGTTCGCAGGAGGTCAGAACCCATTCGCTCCTCCACAACAGCAGGGCGCCAACACTGGTGCGCCACAAAACACACAAGACGCCTCAAGCACCTTTCCCAATTTGTTCGGTGGTGCCGGTGCGCAAGGCGGACAGCCGAACCCCATTGCAGAGGCTGCGCAACGAATGATGCAGAACCCAGAAGCCATGCGCAACATGATGCAAATGATGGGTGGTCCTGGAGCAAATCCATTCGCTGCTTTTGGACAAGACCCCGCATCAGGAGCCGCAGCTGGTGGCGTTGGCCAACCGCCGGCTGGCAACCCGTTCGCCGCGCTCTTTGGTCCGGGGGGATTCGGCGGAGCAGGCGGCTTTGGCTCACCTCCGCCAGCTGACAACCGCCCACCGGAAGAGGTGTACGAAACACAACTACGACAACTCAATGAAATGGGCTTCTACGAATTTGATCGCAATGTCTCAGCACTACGGCGGAGTGGCGGCAATGTCCAGGGTGCCATTGAGTACCTGCTCAACGGCGCAGTGTAGCATGCTTTTCCAAAAATCATCTTATTAGTGCTGAAGCCCGCGTCGCAGCACTCCCTTACCGAGAGCGAGATTGCAGACATAGAGCGATATGAGCAAGATGAAAAGCGCATGGCCGAGGAGGACTTTGGGAGTGACCTGGATGGTATACTAGATGCCTACGACAGTGACGAAGACTGGTCTTTCGAGTCGGATGACAATGGACATGCTCTCGTTGGTCTATGAGGTCTCTCTCTATACTCTCTACTCTGCTATACAGTTAGATGAGTGGGTAGCTTGTAGTAATATTTGGCACGGCGCTAGACTTGGTGTAATGATAGCCAGCAAATGATACCACTAGGCAAATAAATGTAAAGGTTGCCGCATATGAACCCTCCCTTCCCTTCTCCACGTCTGTCACGTTTGCAATGTTCGGGTGCTAATTGAATTTGGTTTCGTTTTTTTTTTCAATTGTTTCTTGAACTAATCATCTACATACACAGAAAGCAGGACCTTTATACAGTCTTGAAAACAGTGCTTGCACTTGTACATATGTCAAGTTCCTTTTGACTGTTTTGTTTTCTTGTTTTCTCGAAGAAGAAGAAGACAAAAAGAAAAGAAAACGCCCAAATAAAAAAGAGTCCCTCATTTCATTTACTTAGTCCAATTCAGTTTGATTCAGAGTAAAAGAAACGCTTTGGGGCAAGCGCACGAAATGTGCGCGGTAGTACCGTTTGGATTCAATCAATCCCTCACTGTTTCCCTCTCTCTCTCTCTCTCTCCTTCCTCTTCTCGCATTTTTCTTTTTCATACTCTGCGAAAAACAAAAAAATCAAGATGAATACATGATAAAAAGGACTCCTCCAAGTACATTAAGTAAAAACAACGTCATAACGATGCAAGCCTCGAGAGCAGGAATATACACCAAAGACGATCATTAGATTTCAATCTTTGAGCGAGGGAGGTGAGGAGGTGGAGTTGGATTTGCAAATCAATTGAGGGAGAGGGAGGCATGGGGTGGTGGCTCTTCTAGTCTGTAGATTTTTTAACCTACTGGCAGACAGACTAGTCACGCACACTGAGACCCGAGCGGTCCGTGAACATGCGCGTAGCAATGTTCATGGCGAGCAATTCCTGGAAGAGAAGCTTGGCGGCGTAGGGAATGTGAATTTGGGAGATGCGCGTCTTGTTGTGGCAGGGCCGACATTCGTAGAGGCCTTTCTTGAGTTGACTGTGTTTTTGGTAGTTAGTACATGTTCAAAAGAAAAGTGATATTGCAGGGCGTGGAACAAGGGGAAAAAAACTTACGCAATAGGACTCATCAGACCGCAAATGTCGCACACGTGTACCGTGTACGCATCTGACACTGTGAAGAGACGCTCCTTCAAAAAGGCAGCAGCACCGTGAGCAATCATACAATCACGTTCCATCTCTCCGAAACGAAGACCACCATCCCTAGCACGACCCTCCACAGGCTGGCGGGTAAGGATTTGCAGCGGTCCACGGGCACGAGCGTGGATCTTATCGTCGACCATATGCCTCAGACGCTGGTAGTACGTCGGGCCTAAGAAGATTTGCGTTCGCAGCTTCTTACCAGTGTGGCCATTGTACATGATCTCGAAACCACGCTTTTGGTAGCCAGCCTCTTCCAGCAGCTGCGAGATTTGATCAACAGTGACGTCGGTGAAGGGCGTGGCGTCACCCTCCTGACCTGTAATGGCACCAACCTTGGACAGCAGACACTCGACCAAATGGGCAATTGTCATACGAGACGGAATGGCGTGAGGGTTGATAATCAAGTCTGGCGTCACTCCCTCACGAGTGAAAGGCATGTCCTCCTGTCGGTAGGTTATACCAATGGTACCTTTTTGACCGTGACGAGAAGCAAACTTGTCACCAATCTGTGGTACTTTGGTTGTCCTGGTACGGACCTTGACGAACCGAAGACCTTCAGTGTTGGTAGTAAAGAGCACTTGGTCGACAATACCGTTCTCGGTGCTTCGAAGAGGCGTTGAGACATCTCGCTTGGTGTGTAGAGTAGTCTTCTGACCAAGCTCCTGGGCATCTGCCGCAATAGGTGCTGTCTTTCCAATGATGATATCATCGCCAGACACACGTACACCGGGAGCGACAACACCATCATCGTCAAGCTTGTCATAGGTACCACCCTTCAAACGGAGAGTGTCGGCACGTGTGGGCTTCTCAAACTGTTCGAGGACGTTCACACCAATTCGCTTCTCTTGTTCAGTGTACGCGCGGTAGAACAAACTCCTGAAGAGACCGCGATCGATACTACTCTGGTTCATGATGACGGAATCTTCCTGGTTGTAACCACCATATGTGGCAATGGCGACAATAGCGTTCTGTCCGGCAGGAAGCTCACGGAACTTGAGATACTCCATTGACCTAGTTGTCGCCAAAGGTTTCTGGGGGTAGTAGAGGACGTTCATCATCGTCTCCATGCGCAGCGCAAAGTTGGTAAGGGCAACACCCATGGCTTGTTTGCCCATAGCAGATTGATAGGTGTTACGGGGCGATTGGTTGTGATCTGGGAAAGGAATGATACTGGCGCAAATACCTAGAATCATGGCCGGATGAATTTCGCAGTGAGTGTAGGCATGGATGCGAGGGTCTGGCAAGGGCTTAAGACGGCGGAGACGGTCCTTGCCCTCGGTGGAGCGCTCAGCCGCAGGTAAGCCCATCTTCATCTCTCGCCATTCTTCCAAGTCCTCAGGGGAGAATGTTATCATGGCAGTCTCTTCTTCCTCGGCATCGAGGTATTCGACGACACCATCTTGGATCAGGCCTCTCCAGCCATAGGTAGCCTGTTCGACCTCCTCTTGACTCCAACCTTGCCGTGTGCTTGTCTCTTGCTGCTCAGCCTTGAGTTTGTTACTGATCTCCTTGGTGAAGATGAGGTGATTTCGGTTTGGCTTCCGAATGTCGTTTTCTACAACGAACAGAGGTCTCATGACACGGCCAGCATCTGTGAAGATCTTGAACTCTCGGTCGCGAATGTCACGAATCAAACTCATCTCGTAAGATAGAGTTCCGTTTCGTCGAAGCTCTTGCACAACAGTAACAAGTTGTTGAGCATTGGAATGCACACCAACCCAAACACCGTTGACGAAAACCTTGGTCGCATCGGGGTTTTGGTTCTGATCGTATTCCTCAAGCAGTTGCATGTTACGTTGCGTCATGAAGTCAATAATAGGCGACGCATCGCTACCAACACTGACGTAACACATCAGAGACAAGTTCTTGACCAGACCACAAGCCTGTCCTTCAGGTGTCTCGGCAGGGCAGACGAGACCCCAGTGGGAGTTGTGAAGCTGGCGCGGCTTAGCCAATTTACCATCACGTCCAACAGGTGTGTTTGTTCGACGAAGATGGGATAGTGTAGAAGCATATGTGTATCGGTTCAACACCTGCGAGACACCAGCCTTGGCGGACGCTGCCTTCTTCTGGTCACCCCAGTTGCCTGTAGCCAGAGAGTACTTCAAGCCGTTTGTGATGATGCTGGCTTTCACCGCCATTTGAACGTTGAAGTCCTGGTTGTTCTCAACGCACCGCTGGAGGTACTTGTAGACATCCTTGGTGAGCTTCAAGAAGAGGATACGGAACAAGTTGGCGATCAAGGGCCCGGCAAGATCCAGACGCTTCTTTCCGAAGTGGTCACGGTCGTCCTCGTCGCGGCGACCCAACACACACTGCAGAAGTCGGTGGATCATGTAACCGAAAAAGTAGGCTTTGCGGGTATCCTGACCTTCCTTTTGGGAAATGTGCGGCAGGAACTCGCGCTGCATAATGTCTCTCGCAAATTTGAGACGCCTGTCCTTGGTACCAGAGTTGGCACCACGTTTGGCGATGAAATCGAGGGCAGTCTCCCGGTCCTGCACAACTGAACCCTCCTCAATACTGGGTTTCAAAAGCTCCAGCATTTGTGTGTCGGTACGGTCATAAACAATGTGGCTAAGAATCTCCTCGTCGGAAACAATACCAAGAGCGCGGAAGACGATGGCCATTGGCACATCTGCCTTGATGTACGGAAGTGTGGCGTACGCGAACGGACCGGGAATACGCTTGCCAGGACCGGCGAGCGAGTTCTCCGCCCACTTGATGTTGAAGGAAGAAATCAGGCGTGTGCCCTTTTCGACAGCGCTTCGAATTTCCGCAATCCATGGAATGGGACCCTGCTTCTTTCGGAAGACCTGCACGATGTTGGCAGCACTGCGTTCCTGAGCAATCAACACCTTCTCACTACCGTTGATAACGAAGTAGCCACCCTGGTCATAAGGGCACTCGTTCAGCGAGAACAAGTCGGCATCTGATTGGGCTCGCAGGTGGCAAAGCTCCGACCGCAGCATCACAGGCAGCTTTCCGATGAAAACTCTCGCCGCAGCGCCGTCGTCCATGGGCATATCCTCGCGCTCCCACCGAATCTGAGATGCGCCTCCTGTGTAGCCACCCTCCATGTCTTCATCCTCATCGCCTTCGGGATCGCGTCCCTCACGAGCGACCATGATGCGGTTTTCGATGTCGGCCAACATGGCACCGGAGTAGGTGAGGTTGCGCAGACGCGCCTCGTGCGGGTACAGCTGTACAGTCGTACCATCGCCTTCAGTATGTGTCGGTCGCGCAAGGTAGACACGTCCAAACTTGATCTCATAGCGGCGCTTGATGATTGGGTTGTCGTCGTCGTCGGGGTTGTAGGGCGTGTTTTGCTCGAGGATCACGCTTCCGTTTTCTTTTACAATGTCTTGTATTGTGTTGCGCGTGAATTCGTCGTATGAATCCAGTTGCTGCGAGACCAGACCCTTCGTGTCGAAGAAGGAGCTGATAACTGCCCAGCAGTCTTCGGGCAAAACGCGGTCGTCCTCCTCGTCCTCGTAGTCGTCCATTCCGTCCTCGTACTCGTACGGCTCGGCCATGATCGCGGCTATGTGTATTAGACGCGGTAGAGGAAGGGGTTTGGGTGTTAAGGGTGGGTAGTGAGTGAGGACGGATGGAGTCCTTGTCTGCCCTGAATGCGACAGACGGCGGCGACTGCCTCTCAAAGAGAAGTTCGGGGCTAGTGTTTCTCCGGTCTTAGCGCGCCTGCTCCGACCGGGGACCGCGATTCTAGCCCCACACCCCTACTCCATACAGCACTACCCGGATGCCAATGTCAATGGAAGTATTGGAACGGAAAGCAGTAAGGTGAGGCTACCACACGGTTCAGAACATCCTGGTGAAGTTTTTGGCACGATTCTTGTCAACATCTGCAGATCATGTGACACTTCACTGCAGATTCTGGAATTTGGTATTCCAATCGCCTTCGCGCAACAGTCAACTCTCAGACGTCTGACTGGTCTATCTTACTAAAGCATATACCTCATTGGTAATTCGAATCAAATTACAGCATCTACAGGTGGAATGAAGCGGCAGTTTACTCGACCAGAGAATGTCGCTTTTGATGCTAGCATGCATTAACCCACATTTTCTCCTACAAATCACCCAAACTAATTTTACTATTCGCTAGGTACTTGAGATGAATTACTCTCTCTACCATAGTTCGTTGAAATTTCTTCGATTCATTCATCCAAGCCTGCCAAGATGCTTCCTGCAAATCAATCTTGACGCTTATACCACTGCAGACGGTAAATCCGCAACATTATGCCACGCTGTATCCGAATTGTTGACTAGAATGATTGTAAAATGACAAGACATGGAAGGTTCCAGCTGATGATGGCCGTGACTGTGATTTCAACACAGGCCAAGAACACAAGATAGAGTAGGGTTTCAGTCTGGAGGATCACAAGTCTACGGCTCAACTTAAATGAACATGGCGGCGACCGATACCGTCTACATCAAGCACTATTTTACAGAGGCTTTGGGAAGCCTGCCATATCAAAATCATCGAGATTGTAACGAATGGTGAGGCTTGTGTGTCAACAAGGTACGACGATACACACGTATGATCACTGCAATGCTATGCACACTAAGTCTTCATCAGCTACGATGGTGCTACTTGGGTGGCACCTGATATCCCTTTACGAACAGCTAATATGGTGCTTCGGTATTACATTACAATCTCAACTCTCAAGATGCACGTACATTTGCACCCTGACAGGAAGCACGTTTCCCTCCAAGTATTCGCTAAGCCAATCGCTAGCGAACGGGTGTACTCATCGTCGACGGTCCCGGTCGTCGCGGTCGTCCCGGCGATAGCGATCCCGACTTCTGTCTCGGCGGTTGTCACGCCGTCGATCGGGGCTACGGGTTCGCTCTCGTCTTCGCTCATGGTACCTGCCATCCTCATCTCGACGGTCGCGTTTAGGGCTACAGCTCCGATTGCGCTTGAAGCGATCGTCGTGGTATTCTGTTCTCCGCTCACGCCTTCGTGTGTCATCTCTCCGCATATCTCTGCTGGTGTCGCGCGTTCGCGACCCCCCATGTCTAGGGGCATCTGAATCAGCGACCAGATTGTTGACGACTGAGTCTGACATGATCTGGCGCCCGGAATCGTCGCGATATTGTCTCTTTCTCTCGAGGTTGTCGATTCCACCGAATCCACCAGCCGCTCGGCGCCTCTTCTTATTTGTGACATCGCGCCAATCGTCTGCAATTTTGGAGACGGACTGAGAGAAGTCGACGTGTATACGGTGATCGTCAATCAAAACACCATCCATCTTGAAGTAGGCCTGCTCGCAGTCCTTCTGATTGGCGTATTCAATGAAGGCGTACTGTAGGCTGTCTCCAGTACGTTTGTCCCTAATGACCTCGCAACCAAGGATCTTGCCAAATCGCGAGAAAATGAGCTCCAGATCCTCGTCTTGCGTAACTGGATTCAACTTGCACACAAACAGCACGTTCTCAGGTGGTGCGACTTCGGCAAAGGGCAGATCGCCAACCATCTCCAGTGTGAGAGCTTGTGCGCGCGCCTCACGTTCTCGTCGTACTTTCTCGAGTGCTTCTGGATCGTTTTCCTCCTCAAGGTTCTCGTCGTATGCGACCCGGACCGTGGCGAGCTGTGCTGCGGAAGGTGCAGGGCTTTCGGGCGGCTCGACGAGGCCAGCGGGGTCGTCGAATGGGTCATCGAGAATGACAGTGTGCAGTATGCGAATGTCCTTGAGTGGCTGACCCTGGTCGTCGATATATGCCGTGTTGATTTTCTCCAACGTATCAAATCCCTCTACAACCGAGCCAAAAATCGCAGCTTTGCCATCTAGATAGTCGATGTTCGGCCCCAATGTCACGATAAACTGGCTGCCGGCGAGGCGCTCTTCTGGATCTGCAGGGTTCGGGGCCGTGGCCATGCTGACTGTGCCCATCTCCGCGTGCTTGAGTTTTGGCTTAAACTCTGGCACGAATGTCTTCTTCGCGATTTGGCCAGGTTCGAGCAAACCCCATATCGAGCGGCCGCCATCGCTGTCCTTGGACCCGGGGCCTATAGGATCGCCAGTCTGGAAGGAGAAATTTGGTTGGACGCTATGCACGGGCGCAAAGTTGTAATACTTTACTTTGCATAGCTTGAGGAAGCTAAGGTGACAGATTGTCAGTATCTCTGTCGTGCATGCTCAGCTTGGGACGACAGCGGGATGAAGCGTGCAGGATGCAGGCCAAAGAACGCGAGGCGCGCGCAAGCATTGGATAGACTCACTTTTCACAGCATTTCGGCGCATCATCCACGAGCAAGTCGATGGTGATATCCCCCAGTGATGTTTCTAGAAGCACAGACATGGCTTGGGGTATGTTGTGCGGAGAACGAGTGCTTGTCGCAAAGGTGAACAAACGATCGGCCGCGACCAGCATTGGCATGGCGCATTGCGCTGGCGCCGCGTATCGGCTTAGTCATCATGACGTACCTCCCAAAAGAGCCTAGCTTCAGGTACGCAGCGCTCTTCTCCACCCGGCGTCTCGCACGTCTTCGACTCAACACATTCCAGCATGCTCCACAACCTCTCGCACACGGACGGATCGGCTCATCCACACACCCATGTCTGGAGACAGACATGGCTTTCCCTTCATTTACAGCCCGCAGTTGCTGCTAGACGGACAGCTCGATTTGGACCGACAGGGTGATGCGGGATACCACCGATGTCATGAGGCAGTCTGAAAGCAGTTAGAAGATCTAGAAAGAGCGTGGGGTGCTTGTGAGAGGCGGGCCGTTGAGTGTCACCCGCCTTCTGATTGTTGTGTGCAGCAACCCTTGCCTAGTTATCGGAAAGCCGCTGCATTGCCTGCTGCACGATCCGAAATCCCCGGACCTGTCATGTTCGTAGGATTGTCAGGATGGAAAGATGTCCAGCAGGCGCTCTTGTTGCATCCTGCTTCTCTAGAGCAAGTCGGTGTAGCCTCGACTTGGGTATCTTCTTCTTGTTCCGTCTAGCTAATTAAAGCCCCAAATGCGAACAATATCGTTCACGCATCCGGATAGTTACCACAGGTCCATCTTTCTCGGTAGGCTTTACCTGCGGTAAGAATTTCCCTTCTTGCTAGCACGGACGAGCTTCTATGCTAATGTGTGGGACACAACATGGTTGACAATTACAAGCGCAGTAACACTGTCTCTGCAAGGATGGAGCTTCGTCACGTCACGTCACTTATGCAGATTTGAAGACTGCCACATCCAGAGATTTGCAGCAACGGGAGACCCACGAGCCTTGTAATCTCTGTGTCATTCTACGCCCATCACACTAAGAAAGATCGAGTAGGCATCCCAGGTTGCTGCGGTCGTGCAGCAGAGAGCAAAGGCCAGAACGAATTCGAATCAATCACCTTCAGCCTCTTGATCGGCAAGTGCTTGTCTTACCGCGACGTCTCACCTCGACCATGGCGCATCGAAGTTTGCTCGCTTCTTGGCACTCCAATCTACCATATCATTGGCTCTTTGCTCATAGAGTTGACGTACTTGTCCTCTATATGCAAGCATGGCGTATCCAACTCGCCGCCTCCTCGCCAGGTATCTTGTCTAGCCAAGATTGGGTACTGTCGTCGATTCAGCCCAATCCAGGCTCATATATTGAAGAAACAGTGCCGCATATCACATTTGAAATGTATCAAATTTAGTGATGCATACTTGGTTTCCTTCATCCGGGTTCAAAAGCAGTGATCATGGAGCTGGGTCAGTTCGCTGAGAGCGGATGTATCCGCCATCTCACCGCGATCCAGATCTGGCATAGAATCCGTCGGAACTCTTCCCCGCAGCGTGCTCCATGTATTCGCTCCATGTTGAGCTGTCAGATGCAACACAGGCATCACGCATGAGGAGATTGATGCGCAAGGGTATACCACTACCAACGAGCTATTCAGACATGCACCAGTAGTCGCGCTTCTGACAACCAACAACGCAGGTCTGGACGAAAACCAGGCGAATCATGCAAGCAGATTGTTGCTCTTCGTAAATTCCGTCTATCATTTGTTGAAGAAGCTCATTCTTCGAAAGAACGATCTGGAATAGTCAGCCTTATCCCTTAATCATGCGGACCGCTAATGAGTATTCGAGCTGGCGCCACACGTTCATGATGGCAAGGGTTTTCAGCACTGTTTCATATACAGCCTTGGGTGTCAGCCAACTTCCTGTTTCTGTATACCTGTCCTGGACTCAATATCTTTGTGGCATTAGCCCCTTTCTTCTTGGAATTCACGGCCTTCCAGGCCCCTGCAAAGTTTGCACAAACGCATTGAACGAACGCTCGGTGAATACTAGTAGCCTCAACCCCGTGCAATATGTCCCGCATCCGCGGTGTTACTATGCAGCCTACAAACATTCGACAACCCTGTCGACAGACTACACGGTGTGTAGCCCGATTAGACCGCATCGCGAAAAGAATACGCTTTTGCCTTGCTGTGGTACTCAGCGAAGCCTCACAGTTATCTGAAAAGGGCTGCTTTTAACAGAGCTTTTGTCATTACAGTTTGACTTGATTGGAATCTTCTTTGTCGCCTCTGGCGCTTATGACCAACACACAGCTCAGCCGTACTATGTTTCACCTATCATCACCCTCCGCGGCGCCTGGACAGGGCTCTTTCTGAGGCGCGTGCTGCCTGATCCCTGTTCACAGAAGGCGGTCACCATGTATGCAGGTTTCCGAAAGCTCTAGTTAATGCTGCTGACACCCACAGGCAAGCCAGGAGGTTGAAAAGTCAATGGTCGCCATCATCTTAAATCCTATCTCTAAAGAGAAGTCATTCGCTCTACGGTAGCCACGTCGACTTTGCTAGGTTCTTAGCTGTTCGGCTATTCTTGCATTCCATCTCTTCAACAACACTATTGCACTTCTTCTAGGCTATAAACCTCGCCTCTCCAGTCGTTCGTTGTTTGACCCGCTCACGGATTGTCTTTCATCTGTCGGGAAGCAACACACGTCCCAGTAATTGGCAACCCAGCCGATTTGCTCCCACTTCGCTACAATACGCAGTCTACTTTGACAGAGCTCAAGGCCCCTCTCCGAACACCATTTGTGCTGGCCTCAGTCCTTTGTAAGTGGAGAAGCTTAGCATGAACGTGATTAAGTCAGCTGACACTCCATTAGACCTACGCCCATGTCATTCATGGAATACGAAAATCCTCGAACTTGTTTGTCACAAAACATTCCTTACCCCAATTGCGGCTACGGCGAACGCAATGCGCCATTAACGCTTGCTCACAATACCCGAGAAAATCCTCGTAGCTATCCTGTTGGTGGCCCAGTAGGTGGAATGCATAACCGAGGGATGATGGCAAGAGAAGATTCGGTAATGGAGACTGGTCCTGCAAGACGTCGCATTGCAGTAGCGGTAAGTTAATCAGAACACAAGAGACGTCCAACATGCCTGGATGTAACTGAAAATCACTTTGTGCATCTTGCTCTATAATGCATGTGCAATTGCTTCATGTTGCTGATAGTTGATTACGCAGTGCGCACGTTGTCGTAAAAGGAAGATTCGCTGTAGCGGAGACCCAGGCAATGGCTCTGGTTGTATAAACTGTCGCCAGGCTAGTGTTGATCCAATGAGCTGCCAGTTCCATCGGGTAGGTTGACTTGGACGCCTCAAAGAGTAGCGCTAATGTCTATAGGTGGGCTCTGACAGTTACGACAAAGTCATAGGTAACTTCACGATGGTCCCCAGTTTGAGCAGCATGGCGAATGCCCAGCACATGGTGCCTTTGTACCAAACAGGAGGCAGCACGGCGGTGTACCCTCGCTCAGTGTCTGTTCCGTCATTTTCTCAATACCAACAAACTGACAATCGATCGGTGTGCAATCCAGTGTGGGCCGCCCCATACTCCGAAGACATGTCGCCTGTGGATACATACAATTTTGACCAACCGCCACCATACGCGAGTATATACGGGTCGCAGCATCGAGGAGGCGACCTAGCGGCAAGACCTTTGCAGTATGGGGGTACATGCTTCGATCATGAGTCACTAAATGCCTCGCACTATACTACTTCGAACGGCCGGTTGAACCCATCAGACCTTTCTCCTCTAGACACTAGCATGGCCTCACTTCAACTATCAGTGTCCGAGAGGCTCCAACCCCGACAGCCTCACCCATCAGAGTCCAGCGGCCCTCGGAGAGAGCTGCCGGTTCCGCAGCCGAATCTTTCCCAGTCCAGCCGTAATGTTGTAGACCAGATGCAAGACGCACGCCTCCTCCGCTACGCCCCGCCAATAGGATCTATTATGGATAACAGAGTATCTTTCTCGAAGCCACTGATACCTTGGGATCTCGACGGGAGCAAGCAAACAAACGCGCCAGTGGTAGCTTCGGTCAGCGCCCATCAAGCCCAACTGTCAGATAGCATGGAAAGTCCAACAAGCTGTATTTCCACCACGACATCTGCTCCAAACAATACGGCCACGACAAGCACGAGTTCTCAGCTTGACTTGAGCTTCAGCACCGCAGGTCCTCTTGATGGCATGAGTGCACCAACAGCAGCCACTCCGTATTCGTGTGTCCGCGCCAGTCGTCACATGGCACCTGCAGATTCGCCAACGAACCTCTACGGCTTCGGCAACACTCGCCCAATCAAGCGGAACGCATCAAACGACGATTTGGCAAATGAATGCTCGTTGGTCAGCGGTCACCGCTACAGTCTGAATCCTTCTCCTCCGCAAAACTCCCAGGGCAGCCGCAAGACACACCGGGATTCGTGCAAAGGCCGAAATGCTCAGCTGCAGCACGCTGCGACTGGAAATCTCAACGCATGCCAATAGAATTGACGTGCGCTAAAGTATCTCCAGTCTCTTCAGTCATTCCTTTTTCCTGCTCTTATCGAACATTGTATCGGACGCAACGTCATTTTCCCCCATATGCTCAAGGCTGAAAACACCAGTCTTTTCTCGCTCGGGATGTAAGCGCGCGGAATCGCCTCGTCGCCCCTCCGCGATTTTCTTGTTTTTCGCAACTCACTTTTGCTTCGTTCCGCGCTGCATTATGTGTCTTTTTGCCATTTTCTCGTTTCTTGCTAGTATGTTTGTTTCGATTAAGAGCAACGACAGGTTTTTTTGTTTTCTTTTCGTTTATTGCAATGGCGGCTCGCGTCCTTTTGTACAAATATACCCAGCATTTTCTATCAGTCTGTCTTTTCTCACCAAGACACACAAAACGCCAGGGCCACTCCTTTGACTCAAAAAAGCAAAACGCTCATTTTTAGCACCGTTCACGGCATGTTCCTTGATCGTTGGAAAGATATGACAGAGGACTAGCATGTTCGGTTGCGTCATACATAACAGCTTCGCTTTGTCTTTTTTTTCCTTTCAACATGTGCTTTGCATTTGTCAATCTTTTCACGGAGCACAATGTATCTCACACGTTTCTGCACCAAGTGTAAGAAAGGAAGGAAGGAAGGAAGATATAGCAGGCTGAATTTAATCATACTTTAATCATAATTTCCATGTCAACCCGCACCGTATTTTGGAAAAAAAAAGGCGTATGATGGAGGCGTCCCAGCATATGCATCTCAACATGTGCGCGTGAGAGAAAGGGAAACTCCGATACCGGATCTCACGCTGTTGGGGGGTGTCTGTGTAACCCCTTGCATCTGCATCCAGACCAGGCTTTGACTTGAGCAAATCAGTGGCCTGGCCGAAATGCACGGGGGAGATGTAAGCATTACGCCGCCAGAAGCCCATGTCTGCCCTACATGCAGATGACCAACCCAGCCGGCCTGAAAAAGGGCGAATAAAACGAATAATAATATGTATACTCCGCACTGGGAGTACAAACGCCACACAAATTCTCAGCCTAATCTATTCACCGCCGCCACCACCACCGCCACCACTACCACCACCACCCTTCATAAGCATAAGCCAAGATAACCACCGCCACCACCACCAAGAAAAAAAAACTACCACATAACCCACCTTCCTGCAACCCCCCTCGCCCGCACCCGCACCCGCGCCTCGCCGTACCACATACGCCCCCCCCCCAAAGCTCCAAAACGGGACTGAAGACACAGAGCCGCTGTCCTACATAAGTATCCACACGCACGCACGCACGCACCAGGCAGCTGTCGCCGGCAACGGCCAGCCGTTGAAGGGCGGTAGCGGCATCGGCATCAGTGCCGGGACCGGTACCGGTACTGGTCTGTGGTGATGGTGGTGGTGGTGGTGGTGGCTGTTACCCAGTAATAAGTAAGTAAATGGTGGTGTGGTGTGGTGTGGTGGCAACGACACTGCTGCTGCTGCTTGCATGATGCTGCTGCTTGCATGTTGTGCAAGGTATCACGATGAGCGTTAGTGTTGTTGTACGAGAAAACAAAACCGGTCGCTACAAACTGCATTTCATGCTTCCTCTCTCTCTCTCTCTTTTCCACACATCCGTCCATCTACCCACGCGTTCCACAGCACCAACCGCAAGAACCTCCTCCCCCCCCCCAAAAAAAAAGCGGTAGTAGTAGCAGCAGCAGTAGTAGTCGCAAGACTTACCTCACACTATAGATTTGTTCCAAAGAGAAACAAAAAACGCTCATGTACATGATATCCCCGGTGTCAGGCTCAAATATCACACTGTACATGTACAAGCAAATCACCCCAAGTCTCCGATTAGATCCTCATTAACCATACCTTCTAAGGCGCGGGAACAGCCATGCAATATAACATCATACACACTCCTCAGCGTTCTACAGCACATTCTTCAAAGCACAAGCAACAACAAACAACACAGTTTCCAAATGATACCGGCTTTCATTGCATTGATCCCCATTCCCGCGCATCTACCTGTATGTGTGTGTGTGCCCTTGGTACAATATATATAAAATATGTACATCCCATCCCATGCTCATGCTCATGCCATCTTGTTTGTTTTTGTCTTTTCTCTACCCGGTCATACGTACATAGACATAGCAAGCAGCAGCAGCAGCAGCAGCCAGCGCCTCATGAAAAGCGCTATACCGAAAATGATTAAAACCAAGAATGATAACGATAAAAATAAAAGGAGGGGGTATATGTATCTCCCAAATGCTTGTGTGGTTTCTAGCTTTTGAAGAAGAAGAAGGAGCAGAAGGAGAAGAAAAAAAACTCCTTGGTACAAGAAAATAGAATAAGAAGACAGAAAGAGAAACACCGTGGTTATATGCGTGCTAATGCCGATTGATAACGTCAAAAACCCCAACCAAAGGGAGGGGAAAAGGGGGAAAGTGAACAAAACAAGAAAGAAAAAAAGAAGAAGAAGAAAGAATCCCTAAAACAAAACGAAAAGGAAAAAAAAGAAGAAGGAGGAGAACCAGCTATTCCAAACCGCTATTCGTACAGATTGTCATGTGTACGCGTGATACCCAGAAACCCTTTCAAGTCATGATCAAACATTTCAAACGCCATAGGGCACTACAGTCGGGGCTTTGAGTGCAGACTCGTCTGCCGTCTTCTTGTCGCTAAAGCGATTGGCCAAGTCTTCAATCTTCGGTATGAGCTCGCCGATGCGAAAGGGCTTGCTGACGACATCGTCCATGCCTGCAGCCAGCAACGTCGCAATTTGCTCGCTGCGCGCGTTTGCCGTGACGGCGATAATGGGCACGTGCCACCTGAGCTTGCCGTGCTGCTCGAGTTCGCGAATCTTGGACGTGCATTGTAAGCCGTCCATGACGGGCATCTCCTTGTCCATGAGAACCACGGAGATATCGTAGGGAGACGAAGTGGGTGAGTCGGTTGACGGCGATGCCCAAAAAGTGGACAGTTTTAGCGCTTCAAGCGCCTCGCCTCCGTGGTTGGCAACCTTTGTTTCTATGCCGTGGTTTTGGAGCTGCCGTTGAAGAACTTTCTGGTTGACCAGGTTGTCCTCTACAATAAGCACCTTGAGCCCCTTTTGTGGCTTCGGCTTTTGCGCAACACTGTCTTGTGTTGCCATCATTGCAAAGTCTTTGGTTTTTGTTGCCGACTTTGCCGGCAAAGGCAATCCACTCTTTGCCTTTTCTTTCGCATTCGACACTTTCCGTGTTACCGAGGCTGGAACAACATCAAGAGTATCCTTTGGCTCGTTGCTCCTCCTGCACTTGACGTAAAAGGCAAACGTACTTCCCTTTCCTGCCTCGGAGGATACACCAATCTCGCCTCCTTGTAGTTCCGTAAGCTCACGCGAAATGAACAAACCTAGGCCAGATCCGCCGTATTGGACGTGAGTTCGCGGGCTTGCTTGACTAAAGCGTTGGAAGAGAAGCTTCTTCTCTTCAGGCGTCAGTCCCCGGCCTGTGTCTTGGACGGCAAACTCCAAGAAAATTTCTTCGCCATTGCCCCAGTCAGGACCAAGGGTCTGGTCTGTTCGTTTCGCTTTCATGGGAAAGTAGTTGACTGTAGGCGCGCTGCTTTGGGATGGGCGCTCGCGAGATGCCGAGAGTACGACCTTGATTGTCCTTGTTTCTTCGGTTGTTGTAAACTTGATGGCATTGGTCGTTAGATTGATAAGCACCTGTAATCAGATTAGCCATAAGACGCTACCGCACAAACATTTTCTCTAACCTGTAAGACCCGTGACGGATCAATCTTGACCCAATCGACTCCTAGTGTTGTGAAGGAATCGGTAAGAACGAATTCCATTTGGATGCCGGCTGTTTGCACTTCGCCTTCAAACATCTTCAACGCACGTTGTACGACTTGCAATGGCTGCGCATCCACTGGCGTTACCTGGTCACGGTGTTAGAAGATGTATTGCATACTGACCAAAAAAAACGTACCATTAGCATGGCACTGTCGAGCTTTGACAGCGTCAAGACATCGTCAACAATGCGCTTCTGATGCTGTGCACACAAAGCGATTGTCTGTGCAGCATCTATGGAGTCGGCCACGATGCCCGGTTCAATGACCTGCGAACCTGAAGCCCTAAAGTCACCGAGAATGGTCGAGATTTCATCGGCACATTGAAGGATAGCGGAGAGTGGGTTTCGCATTTCGTGACTTGTAATGTCGATAAAGTTTTCCTGTTGGCGTTTGAGCTCGACGGCTTCCTCCATTTTTCGTTTTTGAAATCCCTCGGCCCACTTTTGGGGTGAGATGTTTGTGATGCTGCCAAAAACGCTCTTGAGCTGTCCATGCTCATCCTTTTCCGGAAAGGCTGAGAAGAGCACCCAAGTATCACTCTTAGTACGGTCTCTGTCTTCCCAAGGCGCTTTGAACCGGAATTCGAGGTTGATGGGTGTAGTGTTGCTGACCAGTCGCTCCCAATGCTCAAGAATAAGTGGTTGATCCTCGTCCCTGACATAGTCGATCCATCTATCCGTCATCTCGGGCTCTCGTGGGACTCGTGAGATTTCGTACCAAGTGTCGTTGCAATAGGTTATTCTCCCAACGTGGTCAGCAATGAACAAACCCGCTGGAGACAATTCTGCCATGCGCGTAAACCTTGTTTCGCTTTCCCGAGCTTCCTGTGTGCGTGCAGCAAGCTGTGTCGAGAGGTTATATCTGTCCTCTGCCGCTAGTCTGGCTGCTCTTTGACCTCTGCGGATCTCCTCCTCGAACAGCACGACAGAAGCCAGTGACGTAGCCAGTTGACGACTAAGCAGTTGGACAAAGAGATTATAATCATCGTCATAGGGTCTTCTTGGATTGATACCCATGACAAGAAACCCGAGAATGTTCTCGCCTGTGGTAGGGTGAATCGGACAGATGACGACCTCGCGGCAGGGATCCCCGAAGCCACGCCATCCCAGTCCTTCCATCATGGAATGTGGCAAGTCAGTGGACCCGATACTCACAACCACTGGCTTATCTGTCTTCATGACTTCTCGGAAGACGGGCCCAAAGCCTTCTTGTCCGTCTTTGAGGTCGATTTGATCGGGTGCTGCTTGATGCCCCGGTGGGACTCCGAGCGAGCCTTCCAAGTAACACTGTTTGGAGCCAAGCAAGCTGTTGGAATGTAGCGAGGACGAATCACTGTCATTCTCGTCGTTTACGCTGTAGAGCATTACGATTGGGGTGTCGAACTCATTCTCGGTCAATGCAAGAAGGACTTGATCCCAGAAACCTTTGACTTCTCTAGCCGTGGCCGTGCGTTCGCCGACCTCGCGGAGTGTAAGCATGCGCCTCTCGGCAATCTTCCGCCGTGTTTTTTCGAACGCTGGGTTGTAAAGGCCCATGACTGATCCATCCTCACCGACCATGGGGATAATGGACCATGAGAAATAAGTCTCTTCAATGAAGCCACTCCGCAGTATGAACAAGCAATCGTCGTCCTTCATGGTAGCTTGCCCAGTAAGACGTGCATTCTGGAAGACGTCCTTGACCTCATCCCAAATCTCTGCCCAGGCAACTTTGTAGCTCTGGCCCATGAGCGTGGGGTGCTTCTGGCCTGCCAGTCCTGTTTTGGCGGTTAAATACAGTGACTGCCGTGGTCAGATTCAACGTACCAATATAAGCCTCGTTGTAGATGGCGACAAGCTCTTCGCCCCAGTACATGGCGGCGGGGTGAGGGCTCGCCCTGAGTTTTGTTAGTATGAAATTGAACAAAGACTTTTTTTTGGTTGAAAAGGGAACCCTCACATGATGAGATTGCACATGGCGCGTAGGTCATTAGACCAGTATTCTATAGGACCCAAGGGTGTGGAGGCCCAATCTACTGAGCGAGCAAACTGAATGTGCTTGGGGAGAGTATTTGATAATGTTATCCTGGTCCAGTCGAAGAAGCCAATGTCGCGAACATCCTCTCCCAGATCGGTGGTTTCTCTGTAAAACGGGTCAACGTCGCCTGCAGTGTAAGCCCGCAATACGCACTCGTTGGCAAAGAGAACACGCTCGTCCACTGAAGGTATAGTAATTTTGGGAGTGTGATTTGGGAGCACGTCCTGACCAGCTTCGCCGAGTTTCGAGTGAACCGAATCCGGCTGTGATGCTGAAATGGGAGGCGTAGGTACTCCTTGCGGAATGGCAGGCGCTGTATTGCCAAAGTAGTCTTGTGTTTGGTTGGCTTGGGCTGAAGATGATGAGGAATCAGCTTCGGTGTTGGCAGCACGCGTCATGGATAATATCGAAGGGATGACAGCGTCGTTGGGAGGATGCGCGGAAGGAAGAACAGTTGCAGGGGTAGATACATGACCAGAGACGACGCGCAGCCGTTTTCGGAGCGCAAAACACGACCAGGTGATGTTGCCAAAAATTACGGGAGAAGGATAGGTATCTCTGTCTTGGGTCTGGAGCACGGTACTGAGCAGCCAGGTGCGGAACTGATGGGTTGCATGTAATGTGGAGTCCTCGGGCGTGGATGCCACGGCCTTGCCGGCTACCAGCTCCCAGGCCAACATGTTGGATCGAAGGGCGTTGTTAGCAAACAATATTTGCAGGCTGAACGAGTCAGAGTCGTGGCTTGTGGATTCGCCGACATCGACAACAAACGTGGGCCGGCCATCTTGCTCCAGCAGTTCGACTATACCAATGGATGCCAGCAGGCGCAGCGGGTCGTTTTTTTCTCGCAAATCTGGGGATGCGGTGCGTGGCAGGCTGGAGCGGTGCGACAGTCTGGCGCTTGCGGCGCCCGGTTGGCCGGGCGGGCTCAGACCACTATAGGTGCCTCTCGCAAGCGTGACCGTCTTGATGGTGGTATCCTCACGCGCCTTGCTCAGCATGCTTGCTGCGGCCTCGGAGCCGGAGAAGCGTGGGGGTAGGTTGAGGTGGGTGGTGCGCGAGGAGAAGAAGAGAGGCGAGAGCGGCTCGGCGCCGAGTCGGGGCTGGGCAGACTTTGCGAGAGTGAAGCGATCGAGCGAGTATCGCGTGTGAGGCAGCGCTCTGCGGCGCTTGTGCAGGGGCTCGCTGGCGGGGGCTGCGAGCTGCGGGGAGACGGGGGCCGGGGTGTCGTTGGTGGTGAAGGGTGCAAGAGGGCGCTTGATGCCGAGCACGGTGGGCAGCGTCAGGGCAAAGTGCTTTGCGCTGCTGCTGCTGTGATGTGGGCGGCGTTGCAGCGGCGCAGAGCCGGGCCGCTGGAGGAGTGGGCGATGATTAGGCGGCGATAGGGGGGTCCATGGGTTCTGTGGTGGGCTGTGTGGGTTAAGCGGGTCGCGAGGCGGGTCGAGGAAATGGCGATGATCCGTGGTGATTAGCGGGCGGTGGTTGTGCTGATGGTGGTTGTGCTTGGAGTCGAGAGGCGCCGTCGTGTCATTCCCAGTGAAGATTGAGCGCGGCTCGCACATAGAATTGCCAGGATGCGGGTGGGCCGACGGGGCAGAGGGCCGTTGGACGTGCCCTGCGAGGGTCACGTTGCGGGTTGCAAGTGATGGGTGGTGGTCGGTCAGAGGTTGCACGCATTCAGTTGGACCGCGTGAAGGCCGAGTCAGAGTCGTTGACGTCGCTAGCGTGGTGCGCTAGACGGACCAACCCCGCGGAAACAGAGGAGCGAGCGAGCGAGGGCGGCGGCGGAGCTGAGGGGCATGAAGCGTGTTTCAGGGGCACTTTGCAGGCGCATGGGTTGTGGTGGTGGTGGTGGTGGTGGTGGTGGTGATGGGGATGGCGAGGGCGAGGGGATGGCGACGACGAGGCCAACGGCGCAGCACAGCAGCGGCAGCAACAGCAGGAGAAGAGGAAGCGATGGCGCTCTTGGCTAGCGGGCACCCACGGAGACGTGGTATGTATAGATAGTACGTGCTAGACGGACAATAGACTTGCTGCTTGGGCTCAGCTCGCACTCGGGTGGAGCATGGGCAGATCTCGCTTGGTGGCCTGGCTGCATGGCGTGGATGGCTGGACGGCGAGCTGCCTGGGTGCGTCGCCTCGCCCTGGCCTGGCTGCGCTGCTTTGCTTCTTCGCTGCTTGGGGAGTCGATGGGCCGTGGCCGCGGCCTGGGGCGCCCGTGGTCGGCATGGAAGCCATCGACGGCCAGCGCAGTCGCGGCTCTGTGATGACGCCGCCCATGGCATTTGCAAATGCCTTTGGAGCTGTTTTCCGGGCCGCATGACTCGATCAGGGGGCGTGCGAGGTTGTGCTGGCCACGAGTGCCGGCCCATGACGTCATCTGGCCCGCGGTCTAGACCGCCCGCGCCCGCCAATCCCATGGCCGATCGCCCGCCCGCTCGCCCTCGCCCTCGCCCTCCCACTCCCGAGCCCACGATCCGCACTCTTCTTCACACCATCGTCGTCTCGCGCCAGCTGCCACGCACCCACCCACAGAGACAATGTGCTTCTGCTTCTGCTTCTGCTGTCCATGCTCGCGCGCGCACGGCGAGTCTGTCGTGTGCGTGTCGTTGCCCGGGCGCTGCCTGCACTCGCACTCGCACTCGCACCCACTTGTCGCCACCTGCACCGCCGCCTCAGGCCCATCGGGACGCGCCCGGCGTACCTGAGGTGGACAAAGGTTATCCTAATATACTACACCACTGCAAGTACACGTTCTAGCAACAGCAGTACACATCCAAGTCGTCATCTCCACGTGCCAGTCGGCGCCGTTCCGCGTCGGGTCCCAGGCACAGGGTCTCAGTCTCGTGCCGCGGGGCCCCCTGTCCCAGCATGCCACTGCCACTGCCACTGCCACTACCACTGCCAATGCCCTCCGCCCTCCGCCCTCGTCGTCGCAACCCCACTCAGCTCACATGTACACCTCCTCCTCTTCCTCCATCCATCTGCGTATGTACTGCTACATGCACCGTACATGGCCAGCGTTCCTCCCTCAGTCGCTCCGCTCGACAAGGTCGCCGCGGGCTTGCCCGGCTCACCACGATGCACGCCACACCCCGCCACACCCCACACACAGCTACGCCCTCGCCAGACGCATGCACCGCGCTGGAATTCGCCCAAACCATTCGCCATGTGCTCACGGCAGCCAGCATGCGGTGCGGCGTGCGCCCTTCGTGACGCTGGCCCGTTGCGGTTGCAGCTGCCCCGCCACCGGTTCCGTGTGGCAGACGTGAGTGGCTTGGCGACAAATGGCGCAGGCGCATGCGTCGCTAAGCCTCACCTCATCTCCCACATCCACCTCCACCGTTAATCCCATGTTGCCATCCTTACAAGACACGACGAATCCTCCCGCCCGCCCTTCCCAATCCCGCCGATGCGCCAATCAACCCCGTCCACACCAACATGGGCATCCTCCCCCCCCAAACATTTCATGACGGCTCCGCGTGCCGTATGTCAGACAACCACCCACGATTCTACCTACACTGCCCTGCATGGCAAAGATAACATAGCATATTCACTGCCAAGTCTCACTAGCTCAGCCCTTACGGTACAGGACACGCCGACTAACCGCCCGTGGGAGCAAGACAGCAAGACGATCCATCACCCCACTTTTTCTACCCGCTTGCCAGTGGACAGCCTGCCTCACCCTGCCCCTCTCCCCGCTGCATCCCCTCTTACTTTTGCATTTCGCCAAGCATGTACAGCCTGAACAATGTGCTCCCACGGACATGGACTGGTCAGCGCTCCCCGAGGGGCCTTGAGATGCCCCGCTGACAATTAATCGTGTCCACTTTCCCTTGCTTTAAAGCCGCGGTCCATCCCCCGCGCACACCAAAGTCTCCAAACTTTTCCCTCCATTTTCTGCTTCGTGACGATTACTCACCTTTCTTGTTGCTGTTCGGTAATCGCTTTCAATCATGGATTTCCTCAAGAAGAAGATGAAGGAGCTGATGGACGATGACGACAAGAAGCCAGCTGGTAGGCATACCTTTGTTCATGCAGTCGCAACCAAAATCCTAATTCTATAAAGACTCTCAGGCTGGTGGGCCCCCAGGCGGTGCGGGCCCTGGTGACCGCTCACTTTCCGACTCGTACTACAACCAGGGCGGGCCACCCCAGGGCCAAGGCCACCCTCCTCAGGGATATCCTCAACAACAGCCGTATGGCCAAGGTCCGCCTACTCCAGGTCAGGGATACCCGCCACAGGGCCAAGGCTACCCTCCTCAAGGCCAGGGATATCCGCCACAAGGCTACCCTCAACAACAGCCGTACGGCCAAGGTCCGCCTACCCCAGTAGGTCCGCCAGCGCCTTATGGAGCGCCTCCACCAATGCCACCTGGCTGGACCCAGCAATGGGACCAGAACAGCCAGCGCTGGTTCTATATCGAGCAGGCCACTGGACGCTCCCAGTGGGACCCACCTTCGCATCTGCCACCAGGCCCATATGCTCCTCCAGCCGCTGGTGCGCCCTATGTACCGCAGGCTGGTCACGATGAGCGTGCCTTGTTTGGAAACACGCAGGGTCATCAAGGACACGATTACACTGCGACCGGACAGGCTACAAACGAAGCCGAGAAGAAGAAGGGCCATTCTACTGCTCTGCTCGCTGCAGCCGGTGTCGGAGGTCTCGCGGCCGGTGCCGTTATTGGCCACCAACTCGGTATGTTACTCTTTGATTGCTACAAGTTAACTCTTGTTCCGCCACTAACACGCGACAGCCGATGACAGTAGCGACGACGAAAAGAGCCATGCTGCCCCGCCACCGGCAGCGGCAGCGGCAGCAGCAGCAGCACCAGCCATGGCTGCTCCTCCCGCTGACCCATACGGGTATGGCGCCGATCCCTACAGTGTGCCTCCTCCGTCACACCCCTACGAGGACGCTCCGGCGTTTGAAGAGCCTCCTCCAGTTCCTACTCACGATGCAGACGGTGACTCCATCTCAAGTAGCGATCGTGAGTCGATGGAGGAGAAGCGCCAGGAGCTCATTGAGGCGCAGGAAGCGTATCAAGAGGAGCTTGAAGAACATTACGAAGACTAACGCGCGTCGGTGAACTTGTGGATTGCTGTTCTTTCGTTTTACCATGCAACACGAGGGGTCACAATGTATCTTAGATAGAAATGAAACCACTCGAAAAAATACGAGTCTTGTCCTAGCAGTCGTGATTTTGCAGCTAATCGTTTGTTATTGTCAGCATCGTGTTTTTTGGTAAAAACTTGCCAGTCAATGTATACATGTGAACTCTCTCTCTCTCTCTCTCGACTGTTGAAAGAAAAAAGATCAAGCTGAAATTCCAACTATAAACGCCCCCCCCCTCTTCCCTCCGAGAAATGTAAAAAAAAGAAGAAGACGAGGGAAGAAGAGGGAGTCTTTGAACAACAACTAGCTAAACCACGGAACTCCATCCACCAACCAAGGAAGAACCTTCACACCCTCATTCCCTTTATCATGGATATACCGCGCACAACAAGCCCTCTCTCTCTCTCTTTCCCTCTCCAAAAGAAAGAAGAACAGAAACCAAGTCCTATCGCTCTGTCCTCCGTTGTTTTTCCCATATATGTTACCCAACCCAACCCGCCCTTCCCATGTGTAGTCCCCGTCCCCCTTCCGGATTCGTTAATCGGCGTATTTGAGTGTGTGAAAGTATGAATGGTCGTAGGATGGATAGATGGATAAAAGGTAGAATGTGAAGAAGTTTGGATTACCATGTTGTTGCTAAGACGACAACAAGACGAACAGAAAAAAAAAGGGGGGGGGATTTCTTCTGACTAGGCTGGTGGCTGGATCTAGCAGCAGTCGCAGCATTCTAGACAGTCGAGGCAGCACTCGCAGGCTTCGCCGCAGAGCCAGCAGCAGCAGAGTGTGGCAAGACTATTCAATAGTGTTAGCGTGATTGGGGGTTTTTTTTAATGGCCATGTGCAATATGGAGAGATAGGAGGAGGACAAACTCACCAGGCAGTCAGACATCCTCGGCTCTTCTTGGGCTCTTCGGGTGGTGGTGGAGGGGCCTGCTGGTAGGCCATCTGCGCGCGCAAACATGATTAGCGTTGTTTCTTCGTGATACGTGCGACTGAGCACATCAAAGTGGTGGAGTGAAAATATTGTGAAAATCACAGACGGATAAATATGGGAAAAAAAAAACTCACAGGCTGCTGAGGAGGAGGACCATAGCCGGGCTGGGGTGGGCCGTAGCCGGGTTGTTGTTGGTGCTGGTAGTCCATTGTGGTTTGGTGGGTTGACGTTGATTTAGAGATGAGCTTGGGAGGGTCGTGGCTGGTGAAGAGGCTGGTGAGAAGACGCCTTTTTAGTGTATTATGGTGTGGCAAGAGGGCGGGCGCACAAGCAAAACGAGGGCTTTGAGGCGTAGCAGACGAAATGTGTCGAGATGATGTGAAATCCGAGGCACAAGACCTTGGCTTTAGATATGTAAGGGGGGCGGACGGGAACCCCGTCGTCTTTAACATGGAAACCCTCTGCTCCCTGGTAGGCGGTGCGGAGGCGCGTCTGGCATGCACAGCCTTACTCGGCCAACGGAAATTGCGGAAGCGCGTATGTCACCGTGTGCAGGATCACCGACCACTAGGCTGTGCGTATGGGCATCAAATGGCCGAAAAAGAAGACGAGGGCGAGGCGGGTGAGCGTTGCTGGCGCCACATGTGTGGCAGTCCAGGCGCTCCGCTGTGGCAGCTTGCCGGGTGAGGGTGACATGGGTGGGGCCTCCCAAGCCACGGCTGTAACAGCACACGCAAAAACCCTGGTCTTTACGCGTGTGCAAAAGTCTTGGAAGGGGGCGCATGACTTGTGTGCATTGCTTGGACATATGCACAGGCGCTTGGGATCTGCCATCAGCGCTGCCCCGTGAGATTCGGCGTCGTGACTGTCAAGCTGTGCTCCCGGATGGCTCTGGCGAGAGGCTTCCCACGGCCCTCTTCACCCACGCGGCTCTTTGTATCCACCAGCGCCCCATTGTCCCTCCAGGCGCGTCGTGGGATCCGGCGCTGCGAAATGGGTGTTTTGATCTGGGGTTTTGGTCGCATCCCCACGTCTGCCGTGCGTTCCGCGCACTAGCCTCAAATGTGGCTTAGCCGTGGCGCTACCCTGCGACGGGCAATCATACACAGTGCTCCGCTCTTGGCACCTCGAGCGGATATACTTTTGTTGACACAAAAAGCACGCCCGTCGTGTCTTCTCTTCCAGCATGCATGTGCTGTGCTTTTCCTGCCTGAGCTGCTGAAATTGCCTATACATGTCGTGCCATTATCAGAGGGCCTAACGCTATGGTTTGGAGCATATACGCGATGGGGCTGCATGTGGCTCGCGCAGCCGCAGCACCAATCAGGAACGTGTAGCCGAGTGGCTAGTCAATGGCCCGAAACCCGAAGAGAAGGATTTCAATTTGATCAGGGCCCCGAGGCGCATGCGACCAAATTCTTCTGAGCTATTAACCATCAACCACTACCTATGTCCACGCGCATCCCTTTCTTGTGGCGCAGCGCGCAAGCTCGTGGCAAGCAAGAAGCCTCTGCCATCAGTCGAGCTCATTCGGACCTGCTCCCGGTAAATTACGCCGTCGAGCATGTACGCGGGCCATTGTGTGTTTGGTCAGCCGCGGATATTGCAGTCAGCTTTGGCGACAGGACTCTTATTCAACGTTAACATCGCCTTGCCTCGTCAACATTCGATGCGCCCTTTACTGGTCGAGGAACCCACCCCCGTTCAGCCCTTCTTTTCTGCACCCACTCTCCGAAAGGCTTCCAGATGGCCTCCTTTTCTGCAGGCTTCAGACTCGCTGCGAGGCCACTCGTACTCGTCGTCACAAAAACTCGGGACCCCTTCCAAACATTCCCATTGGCATCCAGCTCTTGTTCGCCGTCTTCTGCGCACTTGCCCATGTTGTGCTCCTCGTTTTGCCACCCATACTTGAAATCGCTTTTCCCGGGATTCTTGCCATAGCGGTACCGCCATATCGCCTCCCAGATGCCCTTTCCGACTATGCACACAGCTTCTGGCTTGTATTTGAGAAATTTCTCGTCAAGCTTTGCTGTTCCGGCTTCCATTTCTTCCTTGGAGAGCTCAGCTGCGTCCTTGGATGGCCGTTCCACAATGTTTGTGTTGCCCATGCAGAACAGGGCTGGAAGGCTACGGTCTTCTTCTGGTTTTAATCGGCGGTCCGTCAGGCCTGAAGAATGGAGCAACTTCCAGAAGTGGTTGGATGGGTGTGCATAGGCATGTCCAGCAGTTGCCGTCTGAACACCAGGATTCGTGCCGACGAACACGCACACCAGATTTGGCTCAAGTATGTCAACAAGCGGTGACAGGTGAGCATATTTTGATGGGGCTGCATATTTACTGCCTTGGCGCTTCTTCTTCGGTCGTCCATCAGGTTCAGGGGCGCTGCTTACACCTGCTGTAGCGGCCGTTCTGGTGCGCTTTTTTGCTTGGCGGCGATTTGACGATGATGACACCTCTTTCGATGGCACGTCTGCCTCGGTATACGCGTATTTGGTCAATCGGTCCTTGAATGATGCTGGTGGCGACGTCCCTGGTGCTTTGCTTGGTTCAGAGATCTCGCCATTGGTCGAAGCGCGTTGCGGCGCTTTTTCATTCAGCATGCTTAGCTTTGCTGAGCGTGTCTGGGTCATCTTCGCGACGCAACTATACGGATGTGGTTTTCTGGAGTTTTAGAGACTGTAGGTGTCGTGAGTAGCGGGTGACGGGCTGGTTGCAATCAGAACGCTGACGCGTTGCACGTGGCCCGCGTTGTTTCCGGCATGGCGGGAACGCGTCGACGTCATCCTCAGCTCATCCATCAGCCGCGCTCAATGCCCTTTTTAGACTAAACCTTCACAGACTTGACGGACCCGATACATGAACGCGCATCTTAAAAGAACTACACGAATTCGCCGCTGCTACAACTGGTAACGAATCGAGTTACCAGCACCGTCGACACTCGAGACTGTCAAAGAAGAAAAGGATGTATCTCGACTTCTTCGGCTGCGGATTACGACAGAAATGCTTTTATTCTATTAATACTCTTCGTGTCTACCAAAGACTTTTGCAATTGCGATCATGCTAATACCCATAGACGTTTCTAGTCCGCCGTCTCGCGTTTTCCATTTCCAAGTATCAGCCTTTATGAACTCGGTTTAACCACGACGAAGGATCCCTGAGTTATAACTCCCTCCTATTACTGCACACTTCTTCGATCCTTCATGAGGATACCTGGAACAAATCGTTGCGACTGGCTATTTGTATTGAACACACGTTCAGTTTTCAGCTATCTTCGTTCTTCATCCTTCCTAGAAACACGGTGTCTGCTGCGAAGCAATTCCAGCAAAATAGCCCAGGAGTTTTCGTAATACATCTAGAAATCTTCACTTATTCCTACGCCATGGTATTCTAGTTCCAAACATCAGCAATTTTGCGTACGTTCCGCACCGTTCGATGTTCTCAAGCCAGTCAGCTATGCACATTTCATACTCACTGCGGGTAGTGACTGTGTACAAAGTATGACAAATTTCAACATGAATTCGATCAATACTAACGTGGTTCACAAGTGAGTCGCTAACCCAAGCGAGTCGCTAACGCCCCACCACTACATCTACATCAACACGTTATCACAGTTTTTTATCACAGTCAATAAACTATTGCGATACACCAAATTAATTGTTAGAATCGCTACTATCACTTGCACTATCTATCTCAACTACGCAGGTACGAGCGTTGTGTCCAGTCTGCTTGCAACGCCCGCACCGCCGCTCTCCTCGCACCCTCTTCGACGCACTCTCACCATCACCACGACTGCTACCCGCCTGTTCAGCTAATACTTCTTGTACTTCGCCTACAGTAAGAGTCTCTTCTGTCCGTACGTATCGCCGCTTGCGGCTTTTACGCTTATTTGACTCGTCAAGAGCCGCTCGAAGCGTACCCATTTCCTCC